GACATATTTTCTTCAAAAATCTTATTGCTTATGTGTTTAACAAGGAAACATGTTGTTTATCGGTGTGCTGGGCCAAGATCAAATCTTCAACTTTGGAAAAATGCTGGAACTAACTTTTTGATAGGATTTTGATTGAAGAACCTGAAGAAGAAAATGGTAAAGAAATGACAGAAGAAATTAAACCTTTAATAAAAAATATGCCGGAATGTGACGAAATTAACTAAGAAGAGATACGTGAAAGGTTAGCAGCCAATGACTCAGAAAGTGAATTCATCGACCAGGACATCATTGATATGGTTCTTCAGACTTCCAGACAACCTGAGCGTATCAGACGACGAAGATGACGACCCAATAGACAACAGGCAGCATGAGACCGCCGACGAGATTTTCAATGCCTTAAGGATACAAAGTTTATACAGTAGACCCAATTATTTAGGGACACGACTAGGTGGTTCTTAACTTTTGTTGTCATTGTATAAAGTTTTATCCTTTTCAAATTGCTTTACGTTTCGTCGAAAGATAGAATGAGGCAAACTCATGACGTTCTGCAAATGAATGATGGAGATATATAGCTGCAAAATATCGTTGTCAAACGAAAACGCAAAAGAAAATAGAAGACTTCTTTAAAAAAATTATGTTAAACTTCGTTCATTTTCCTTAATTTTTTTTCTTTATTATGTATTTACTTATTAGAAAACATTACGAAATCACCTCATAGTATTTTTTAATACCAATACTTTGACCAAGAATACTATAAAAAACAATGTTGTTTTTAACCGAAATTCTTGTTATCCGAAACTTATTTCGTTTAACGGAGGTTTTACTGTACTTCTTACATTCTGTAACGAAATAGCCCATCTCTGATGCGGTTACGTGTCACAGTTAGACTGGAATCAGAGAACTACGAACACAGAGAAGCGACACGAGGCCCGAAATCCGTGTATCTTTTCTGTATACGCATGACCCAAATAGGGCGATTTACTGTCAAAAACACGTGCGTTTTCTTCAATTTTAGTTGCTTACGATAGTCCGTAGGCATCTGTGGTAAACTCTCGACTATACAAGTGCATTTGACCATTTATCTAATTTACTTAGTAGTTAAAAGTTTATAGTTACAGTTTGTAGTTATAGTTAAAATATATAAGTTAAATATATAAGTTTATATTTATAGTTTATAGTTAAAAGTTTAATTTATAAGTATTTAAAATGTCTTCTGGTTATTGTTGTGCGTTTCGCGGATGTTCATCTGTGACAGGAAAAGGAATAAGTTTATTTAGATTTCCTAATAATAATAACAGGCAATTACTATTGCTTTGTAATTGCCTGTTAATTTGTCTGCCAAGGGATAGTTCAGAATAAAAACCAGAGAACTACGAACACATATTAAATTTATTGTCTCCGAAGGCTCAGGTCAAAAAATCAACAGATGTTGGCCTACTGGTGTGAAAGCGCTCGCAGACAACAATACGAATATAGTATTTTTAGGAAATAAAAATATATAGAGGGTTTTATACACGAGAATATTTGATTTAAACGAAACAAAGAAATTCCTAAAATGCTCAAACTAAAAATTGTTGGAAACATAATTAGATCGAAAATTGGGAAAATCTTAAAATTACAACAGAACAACACTTCAAAATAAAAACATGATTGCAAATAAACAAACTTACATTAACATCATCATCATCATCAGTGGTGCTACAGCTCTAGTTGAGCCTTGACCTTCCCCAGTCTATTTCGCCAGTCGTTTCTGTTCATCGCCAACCGTTGCCAATTTGCCGCGCCGATTTTCCTTGCGTCCTCGTCCACACCGTCCCTCCATCTCACTCGTGGTCTGCCTCTACTCCTATTTCCCACTGGACCGATAATAGAGTTCGTCTGGGTGGGTAATTCTCATTTGCTCTTGACACATGTCCAGCCCATCTAAGCCTGCCTATTTTTATGAAGGATATTACATCTCTACCATTTACTATTTTTTTATATTTCTCGTACAATTCGAAATTATATCGCCTTCTCCAAATACCATTCTCTTCTTCTCGCCATTCTCGCCTTCTTACATTAACATAACTTCAAATATTTGCTGTCTTTTTCACCAAACAAACTTACATTAAATTATGAAAAAACTAAATGCTCATCTACTTTTTGCTATATACAAAAGTTGTCTGTCAATGTTTAATTCGTTAAATATAAATAACAAAGATCAAATATATGGATCGGAGTACACAACATATTTAGGGAATAAATATTTAAATGGGAATTACAAATAAAAAATATTAAAACTTTATTTATTGTATATCTCAATATTTAGTGACAATTTTGAGACTTAATTAGGAGAAAACTGTAAATTTATTAAGATGATATATTGACAAAAGTTAAATACTTCATTACTTACAATACACTTAGAATATACTAATACTCTTATAGTTGTAAGTAATGAAGTATTATTTATAAATACAAAAAATTCTTTGTTTAAAATTTGTTCTGTTAAAAATGGATATACTTTATAATAGTTATAGGATTTGTGAACTACATTTTGAAGATAATCTTATTGTCAAAAAAAAATAAAAGAAAAACATTGGTGCATGACGCAGTACCTTCCAAATTTCAATATAATACGATAAACACAATTGGGAAATATTAAAATTACAACAGAACAAGATTTCAAAATAAAAACATGATTGCAAATAAACAAACTTACATTAACATAACTTCAAATATTTGCTGTCTTTTTCACCAAACAAACTTGGCATACAATTTCATTGGCGTACGAGAGTACGCCCAACGAAAATATGTAATCCACCATTTTGTTGGCGGCCATTTTGGATTTTCTATAATGAACTCTTTTCTACTAGTCAAACCCTTTCATTTGATACCCATATTGAAGTAGTTGTGAAAAAATAAGTAATCCGCTATTGTGTAGCGGCGTCCATCTTGGATATACAATGATACTGAATGTATGTAGTGTATGTATAGTCGATTCGCTAATCTCAGACACAACTATCTAGTATTTTAGTAATTATTTTTTTGCGAAAGTTAGTTACATTTTAACAGACTAGAACTGGATGACAATTACTATATTTACAACCCAGCACATATGCTCATAGCCAATATTAAGAGTAAACAGACATAAATCTTACTCCAATCAACCATTATTTATTTACACCATAATATAATTCCACAACAGACAACGGAAGATTTGACCAATAATTTAAAGGTAAATGCTCCAAATATACATTTCTACTTCAAGAAGTTAAAGGTTACGGAGTACCAAGCAAGCTTTAAAGTTTCATATCCATTGGATTATAAAAATGAAGTTCTCAATCCCAGTATCTGGCCTGAAGGTTCAATGGTTCGTCGTTTTGACTTCAAGTATAAGAATTGTACTAACCGCAGTTAACAACAAAACCAGAAATAATTGTTACAAATCCGGCTTAGGCAAACTAGATACTACAAATAATTTTAAAGGCAATACCAATCAACTAAAAATCGTATGTATTAACTCTGAATCTATTGTAAACAAAATAAATTGTATCGAAATATTAGTTTAAACTGAAAGTCTGGATTTACTATGTATATCCAATATGTGTAATGACAATAATATAAATTCGTTTTATCTTCCTAATGCTCTCTTGTAATGATTCGTAATACTTTTTTGATTATTTTTTAGGTTATTACATTTTTATATTTATAGAAATATACTCGTACAATAGTTACTTCTTGATTTTTTATTCGTTTTAGTCGAATATCGTTTACTCCAATATTCGACTTTAAAGGAAAAATGTAATTTTAATAGGTTTCCAAGACATTAACAATCGATATCAATATAAAGTTTCTTGTTTCTCAGTCTCACTCAAAGAGAATTGGAATTTTTAGAGTTTGTGAAATTTCCGTGGCAGTTACAATGGCTTTGTTATTTTTCGATTATATTACGAAAGATAATTTATTAGGAAATTCCACGACGAACAAATTATATCTTGTATCAACACAAGCCAAAAAGAATCGGTGTATTATTGTATTATCAATGCCAACATCAGAATAAACAAAAAAGTATTTTCATCTATGGTTCCATCAATACGATTTTCACCATTACTTTGCGTTGTGCGATGTATTTGTAACATTTTGTAAATCAAAAATAATTACACCATTTAGAATGTCAACAAAAGCCGGCCCTGCATGTAATTATTTTTTCAGTGCAATATTTCATATTTATTGAAAGTCAACATAAATGCTCAATTTTATTTAAGAATTTATATTGTGTAATATGCCCACTGACTATTAGTAAATAAGGTGCTTTCCTGTCATTTTCACTCGTTGGCGGCTTGCCCACTCAAGATCAAAGGAGTGTCGCTTCTCTGCGTTCGTAGTTCTCTGCTGGAATGTTCGACGTGGGCATTCTCGATGCGCCTTTAACGTGAAGGATTAGAGGTGGACTATTCCAGAAAATTCTAGTACATAATAACTTTATATATAAGCAGACCTTCTATGAATTTAGTTTAGTTGAAAATATATTACCGAACTGTAAACTTATAAATAAATATATTTATATAAATTTGAACCGCTCGTTTTATTTAATCTCGCTACAATACGATTTTTGAAACTTTCAAGAGTATCTCGTTTAAAAAATATCACATACCATTTTTTATACTCACCCTTCAAATATTTGCAATATTTTATTAAGACGCTCAAGTGCGTCCTCAGCATATTCTTTGACAATCCTACAAACATGCGGAGGACACACATGGGCGCTTTGCAATGCGATATTTACAGTCTATAAGTTAAAAATTTTGCACTTTTCGTTAAAACAATACTTCGCATTGGCGTACTACTCTCATTTGTATGTATGCCGCACCGAAAGGGTTAAGATTAATATTTGTTATGATTTTAAAGTATGACTTTTTTATACTCCTGAGTGTATATTATATTTGATACATTATGTTGTTTTTATTTTTGTGTTCGTGTTATAATTATAATGTACTTATAATTTATATAAAAAAAGACTTTTGGTAAAAATAATTTATTGTATAAATAAAAAATATCAACAAAATAGGACTAGCGCAATCTCTAAATAAATAAAACTTAATACTACATGTTCTTGGATGTATAAATCCGGCAAATAAAAAATGGAATTTTTGAACTTCATATAATCACATTAGCTTAGTATTAATTGAAAGCCCTTACACTCACATGCTGCCAATTGCCCTAAAACAAAAAGAAATATTTATATATACAGTTGTGGTAATCTGAAAAAACCATATAGCACGCATAATTAAACTTCAACTGTAGCTTATTCTCATTAAAATCGCAATACCTTTAAGATGTTACAAGAAAATAGCTTCAAAACAATACCGTATAAGGTTGTTCTGCTAACAGAAAGAAACCGAATATAGTACGACATTAGTACCGATAGGAGCTTGTTTTTAACACCCATTAAATTGAATTCTAGTTTTGTCAAAGTGACATTCAGTTTTGATAACGGAAGCGTCAAATATACGTTTATTTTTTTTATTACTAATAATTCTGGTTTTATTTGCAAAAAAAAAAGAATAAAGAAATTGATATTTCAAATTAGGAAAATTGTAACCTTTACAACTGCACATAAAATTCAAATTATTAAATAGCATTATTGTGAAACTAGTGCCGACGATATAATCGGTAGCTTTTCGTTTTCATTGGAAGATCCTGTAACAACCAAATCTACAATTCACATTATTTTTAAATTAAAAAAAAAAGGTTGTCAAGAATTGTAGAAAATGCACGTATAGTGATGAAGATGAAAATCAACCAGCACGTGCAATTAATGAAGAACGGGAATAGCGTAAAACTGCAGAAGTGCAGTCTAGCTGAAATCAATTTTCCTTGTATCAGTACCCTAATTTCAAGAGAAACGGCTATTAGTGCTAGAACTGTATGAAATATTTTAAACAGAAACAAGTACCATTGCTACAAATTGCAAAAAACTCAGGAAACTTTCCCGGCTGATTATGAATGACGGATGGTGTTTTGTGAGGACATGATGGAACGCACTAATTGTGATGAATATCTCATGAAAAAAATCTTGTTTACAGACGAGTTTTCTTTTTCTTTAACTGGTCATCACAATCCATCTGTTACCGTAGGGTACTCTCCAGAAAATAGGCACATAAGTGTTCCTTACAAAACTTAATACGGTCAAAGTCAACGTCTGAGCCATCGAGCAAAAAGACAGAAGAGGTAAAGGTAGTGGGGGCAAAAATATTGTTAGACAGGAAGTGCCATTTTGAGAGGCCACATTAAACAAGTAAAGAGAGTCCCTTTCCTTGTTTAAGAAATTAAATTTAGTTGGTTTATGTTATTGTTTGTCTCAACTGTCACGTGAAAGCTTATTTATATTGTTTATATAAGTTTTTTAATAATTGTGTGACATTTTAGACTATTATCGTTATTTGATTAAAACTTTATTATGCTCTAGTGTTAAAAAAAGTTTAAGTGTCTGGAACATAGTGTTTATAATATTATTGGAACATAGTCTTAAATTTGGTGCCTTTGCATTTCCGGATATGTCCGCCATATTAAGAGGCCTTCTTCTTCTTCAAGTGCCCTGTCCGTTGCGAACGTTGGCTATTAACATGGCAATTTTGATCTTGTTTGCGGCGCTTCTGAATAGTTCGACCGATGTGAGCCCGAACCACTTCCGCAGATTTTGGAGCCACGAGTGTCTTCTCCTGCCTGGCCCTCGCTTACTGTCTATTTTTCCCTGGACAATCAATTGTAGCAGACGGTACTTATCGTGTCTCAATATGTGGCCTAGATATTCAAGCTTTCTTTGTTTAATTGTATTCACGATTTCTTTCTCCTTTCCGATTCTTTGGAGTACCTCTATGTTGGCGACATGTTCGGTCCAGGATATACGAAGAATGCGTCGGTACACCCACATTTCGAATGCTTCTAGTTTTCTCGTTAGCGTCTCCGTCAGCGTCCAGGCCTCCACGCCATACAGCAAGATCGGAAAAATGTAGCATTTAACTATACGTAGTTTTAGGGGAAGAGACAAATCCTTGCTTATGAGGAGCTTTTTCATATTGCTAAATGCTGCTCTAGATCGTTCTATTCTCGCCTTAATTTCTATGGTCTGTTCCCATTTTGCATTTACGTTGGTGCCAAGGTACACATAAGATTCTACATTAAGAGGCCACTTTTATGAATTTTGGTCTTTTTTTCATAACGATTAGATTCCATCTATTGTCTTTTTGCTCGATGGTCAGGGCCGATATTTTATGACAACGTAATTGGCCCTTTTTTCATCGTGGGCGCTTTATTTCCTCGTAAGATGTGAGAAATCACAAATTCCAGTAGTTGGGTTGCAGCAAGACGGCTGTTCAGTTCAAAATGCACAGGAGGTGTTAGATTTTTTAAACATTACGTTTCCAGATAGAGTTATTAGTATAAAAGATACCATAAATACAACACCACGCTTCCCTGATCTTACACCTTTGGATTTTTTCGTATGGGGTTATGTAAAGCAACAAATTTACCGACGTAAGCATAAACGTGCCGTAAATTTAGACGAATTACGTCAAAAAATTATTCAGGCCTTTCAAAGAATACCTTCAAGACAATAACTTGTAATTTATGCCCTTAAGAATTTATTATGTTATTTTTTATGAATTGAGATCAAAGAAACTGTTGATTTAATCTAAGATATGAACCTGCTTTTAAATCTTGTAATCACATCGTTGAAATATTTCCCCAGACCATCTAAAAAATAAACTTTCTTTCAGCAACAATGTACAGACAAGACTGTCCATAGTGCTTACGGGTCTATCACAGACATGTGGTTGCATGTTATTTTCTCGGACATACAAATCTATATAATATTTTTTCTCAGTTCATTGCGTTGTCTTAATGCCCTATAGTCAGATAACTTTTTCCATAACTGTATAATATACTTTATTTGAATATAGTGACACTTCATCTACTAGTATAAAAAATATTAATTGGAAATAATGAGAAACTTGGAAAAGTTTACAGAAGCCCTGTGTATTAAATACCATAAATGACCGAATGATGATGTTGAATAAATAAATGAGCTGTGATGTGCATACAGTTGAGTTGATGTTGTGTATGCTGATAGATTAGATAAAATATCCTATAATTGCGAAAAACGTAGTAAGAAACAGAATATCGTACATATTGAAAGGAATGGGTTAAATAGAAACAAAGGTCGACTAAAATAGTGAAGACAATAACCATTTTAATTCCTAGACATACTAGGACAAATCAATAATTGGATGAGGATAAAACATATTTTATACTTAGAACTTAAAATATTGTAAAGTTTATTACCGCTATTCCAATATCCCAACCAGACCCTGCGGGATTTGCAGCGCATATACCTTCCCTTCTCACTATTATTCCAGCATTCGTGGTAGCCCAAACTTGATTATGACTAACACTCACGTGTTTGAAGCCTGTTGTGTCTGAAGCAGAACCTGAAAAAATAGTTTAGTAGTAATTTAAATTAACTATTAATTAAACTATACTAAAATTTTAATAGCAATTTTTAGGTTTTCGTTTCAAAAGGATAGACTGCGGAGGTGCCTACGCTTAGATGAGTGCAGTTTAGTGATGTGTGTAAATTTATTATAGTTAGGGAAACCATTGCAAGGTCGCATGTGTGAAAAAATATGCAATGCATTTTTTAGTTACTTTAGAATCTTTAATTGGCACTATTTATATTTCTTATTTTTTGTATTTCTTGAGATTTGATTATAGTTTCTAATAATTCAGAGAAAGAATACTATTCTTCTTCTTCTTGTAGTTCCTTCTCCTATCGGAGGTTGGCTTATTGGCGGCTGCTTTAAAAAGATCTACTGAGCTGCAACTATACCACACTCTTAGGTTTCTCAGCCAGGAAATTTTTCGTCTTGAATACTATTCACAAGATCATAATCCTTATCTAACCTTTGACATAATGTTTCGATGAATATACTGATATATATTTAGTGACATTAGAACTGTTACACCCAGAAGGAATAATTTCTTGAACTTAATTTTTTGGCAACATGGTAGATTTACATCCAGAATGAAACGATAACGTTGTAAAGAATTTTGATTAACAAGCAATCAAAAAAAAATTAATAATGTGTTTGGCGACCCCGTAGCTGAATACACTCCTGTATACTTCTAGGCATTGACAAAATAAGATGATCGATGTCTGCTTGTGACACCTCGTTCCAAGCAACTTGAACTTCATGTATTAACTATGCAAAAGTCTCGTCGCATTCGACCATCATGCCTTCCTAAACAGAATCGTGATGCATCGCTGAATGCTACATTACGTCATTCTGCCACACAATACTGCCGTTATCTGCACCAATTCAAACGTTGATGACTGTGGTCCGAAGTCAACGGAAACACTAGTCGTGGGTGGAATAAATCCAGTCCAAAGTCTTGAATACGAAGGTATAGTGTACGCATGAAGATGTTATTGATGTACTGGTTGAACTCTTTAATCTAAGGGAGAGCGCCCACCAAAGTGGCGTGGCAGTGGCAAGTAGCAAGTAGCACGCGTCTAGCATAATGTAACCAATGAAAACGAATGATTCAGTTTACACCAAAATGACAGTAACGTCATTCATTCTAATCATTCGTTAGGATTGGTTACATTATGCTAGACGCGTGCTACTTGCTGCTTGCCACTGCCACGCCACTTTGGTGGGCGCTCGCCCTAATATATCAGACTGCCACAATCCCCAGACAATGGCTGCAATCAACCTTTGTAGCAATTCCCAAAAAACCAAGTTCAAAAACTTGCTCAGACCACAGAACAATAGCTTTAATGAGTCACACACTTAAAACATTTTTGAAAATAATTCACAGCAGAATTGTTAAAACTCTTGAATATGAGATTAGTGACACACAATTTGGCTTTAGAAATGGTATGAGTACAAGAGATGCTTTGTTCGGCTTGAATGTGCTGGCTCAGAGATGCATGGACATGAATCAGGATATGTACTTATGTTTTGTAGACTTTGAAAAGGCATTTGATAAAGTTCAACATAAAAAGCTTGTAGATATATTAAAAAGCAAAAATATTGACAGTCGTGATCTGAAAATTATATCTAATTTATATTGGAATCAAACTGCCAAGGTAAGAGTTGACAGCCAGTACACCGAAAATATCAAAATACAGAGAGGAGTCCGCCAGAGTTTCGTGCTGTCCCCACTACTTTTCAATGTCTACAGTGAAGCGGTATTTCAAGAAGCGCTCTCAGACTCAATAGAAGGTATATCTATCAATGGAGAAGTTTTGAATAACTTACGTTTTGCAGACGATACAGTAATAATTACGGATAACAACAATGATTTACAGAACCTAATGCAATGCCTTAATGAACGCTGTCATGAGTACGGACTGAAGATAAATTTAAAGAAAACTAAGTGCATGATCATGACTAAATCTACACATGCAAATATCCAATTGACTATTGAAGATACTGCAATTGAGAATGTTAATAACTATAAATATTTAGGAACATGGATAACATCAGATGTAGACCAAACCAAAGAAATTAAGACACGTATTGAAATAGCACGTACATCATTTATTAAACTTAAAAAGATTCTTTGTTGTCGGGATATAAGGTTAGAACTACGCCTGAGAATGCTTCGATGTTACGTGTTCTCTACTCTTCTTTATGGTCTGGAAGCTTGGACACTAAAACAAGTTCATCTGAATAAGCTGGCCGCCTTTGAATTTTGGTAGAAGAATCCTACGAATATCATGGATTCAAAGAATGTCAAACATGGAAGTAACTAGAAGGATAGGAAATGAGGCGGAAATAATATTAACTATTAAAAGACGAAAACTTGAGTACTTGGGACATGTGATGAGAGGGCAAAAATACGCATTATTACAACTTATTATGCAGGGCAAAATCCGAGGAAAGCGAAATGTGGGAAGACGAAGAATATCCTGGCTTAAGAACTTAAGGGAATGGTTTGAATGCAGTAGTGCAGAACTTTTTAGAGCGGCAGTCAACAGAGTCCGCATAGCCATGATGATTTCCAACCTTCGATAGAAGATGGAACTTAAAGAAGAAGAAGTGTACGCATACTAACAGATCTACCTACTACTCCAAACCATTGGTCAGCAATTTGACGCGTAGTAGCAAAACGGTCTCCCAGAGCCAGTAATCTAAAGCGTTTATCTAGGCGCTCTGTGGTACGCCTCGGTTGACCAGTCGGTTTTTTTTCGTGTTCCTCTACCTTCGTTTGTCCACACATGCACATTGCCGTACAATTAACACGACAGCCAATTTCGCGATACGACAAACCCATATCTCTATACGCAATAATTCTACCCCTTTCAAAATCGCTAACATGGTGGTAATTTTGGTGTCTTCGAACTCGAGGCATTTTCTTATATTGAATACAATTAGACTGAGGAATAATATCTAAAAATTTCTATACGAACAGGTTGTCACAAATCGGTCTCATCACAAAAAAATTTATTAAAGATATAACTTTATGTAACAATAAAACACTGAAAACTTTGTTTTCAAAACTGCCACAAAAATTAATTATATAACCTTATCACTACAGCTGTTTCGGCTGATTGCCTTTCTCAAGTGATCTATTTGTGGCATGCGTTTACACTTTATAGTCTTTAATGAAATAGGTTGAGGAGGGGAGAACTGTTTGTCTCAAGTTGGTAAATCAAAAACTACACAAAGAAGCCCTGAAATTAGTATTTCCACCACCAGAGAAAAAACCCAATACCCTCACATATTACATATACAGGCAAAATATCAACAAAAATAGCACATAACACATAAAAAAAGGAATAACACCAGCTTTCAGAACAAATAACTTAGGCAAATATATTAAAAACAACAAGAGCCAAAATAAAAAGCACTTACACAGTGGTGTATACAAACTTAAATGTGGCGACTGTCCAAAAACTTACATCGGTCAAACTGGTAGAAATTTTAATAAACGAATAGCATAACATAAAAGGGGTTTCAATAATAGAAAAACAGATTTTACATAAGCACTTCACCTTCTAGATCATAATCATTCTTTTAATGACGAATTTAAAATTCTTCACATTCAAAATAAAGGCCTTAAGCTATCTTTGTTAGAATCTATGGAAATTAACAAATTAAAAAACACAGATATAATTTCTGAATGACCAATTTAAGACAAACAGTTCTCCCCTCCTCAACCTATTTCATTAGAGACTTTAAAGTGTAAACGTATGCCAAAAATAGATCACTTGAGAAAGGCAATCATCCGAAACAGCTGTAGTGATAAGATTATATAAAAAAAATTTGTGGAAATTTTGAAAACAAAGTTTTGAAAACAGTGTTTTATTGTTACATAAAATGAATTTCCATCAAGTAACGGTCGAATCCATCAATTATAAAACTTTATTTTAACAAAAAAATTAGAAAAGATAAAACATTGGTATTGTTATCATAGCTTGTTTTAAATATAGTCATTCTATTGTCAAAAAATTAAGTTCAAGAAATAATTCCTTCTGGGTGTAACACTTCTAATGTCGCTGAGTATATTTGTTTGTCTTGGTTTTCGTATGGATTTTGCACAGGTGTCACTGTTATAACTTACTGTTTTTTCGCTAAAACCTTACATACGCTGTTTAGACCCATTTTCACCAAATACTACAGTTTATTTTTCGCTACTACGCCCAAAATTAGATACGATGTTGGCTATATATGATCAGCCATAATGATCAGTTACCTTCGGTAACCTAGCAGTACCCACAGAAGAAGAATTAGTATAATAAAAAATAAAGAAAAATACATTTCGTATTAAATCTTTATCTCAAATGTTGTCGTTGTTCTTTCTTAATGTTTTACCGTTCCCGTCAAAAAAAACTGGTACAACTCTTCTAACCGAAAATCGTGTTTTTCATATTGTGTAAGTTGAGCTTGTCACATGTGTCATTCTAATTTCGAAGGCAACGTTGCCAGTTCAACGAAAATATTATATCAAACCAGCTAAAAGCAGGGCTGTGCGACGGGTCGCAAGTTTTTAGTATACTAAAAACTAAAATAATAGCGAGCATTCTCGATCAGTCAGTCACATTTATATTTATACATTTATTTACATCTTAAAAAATTCTATTAATTTTGAAATTTTCCATTATTTCAGTATCCATATATTGATTCGTGTTTTATTATAATTTATTAATTTATAATGTATTATTTTAATTCAAAAATAATGATAGATAATAAATCTAGACATGACTTATTTATGTTTAATTTCAAATCTAGAGGTGTGATTGGTTTCTCGTAAAGTGTAGCACAAAACTGTATTGAGTTGTGGAATACTACAGTAAATAAAACCCACTGGAAAAAATTAAAATTTAATTTGAAATTAATAAAAAATTAATAATTTTTACAGTGAACAAGTGTGGGATATAAATATACGTATTACAATTCGAAAAGTTAATATTTTGTCATAG